GTTCGTCAGGATCTCTATTTTAAGGTCATTTTGCCTTCAGTGACCTATGGTCTTATACTATGGAGATCTTGCTGCAATTCCGACTTATTTCAGTCCCTGGAAAGACTTCACTGCAGGGCTGCGAGACTTATCTTTCATTTGCCGAAAGACATGGCATCTGCTGATGTCCTCCAACGGGCCCAATGGCCAACTCTGTCTATTTATTATAAATCAGCCATTTTTATCTGTCTTCAAAAAGCTTTCCACGATAGGTTACCTGTCACATTAATCGATCTGATTTCTAAGAAACGGACCACAAACTATTCAACCCGGACTTGCGCTTCTTTAATTGTTCCACGCTTCAACACGCGTTACATGAAAGACTCTGTCGCATTTAGAGGCTCAGTCCTGTTAGCCTGCGAAAACATCCGTTTCTCCTCTCTCTTCGCCGCTGGGGACGTTTCGTGAGGAGGAACGTCTGCGACTCAGCGACAGAAATTCCATACTGATGACGTAAAATCTGTCCGGAATCCGGTCAGAAGCGCTGATTGGTCGACGGAGTAGTTACATTGTTTTAGCTATTGTTTACGAATGACAGACAAAAGACAAAAGGCCACAGAGGTCAAATGTAAACGCGAAGAATCTCTAGCAAAACAGTCAATATTTGTGGAATATACTCTTTTCTAGAAGAAGTATTTGAATTTTGCTGGAGCTCGTTGGCAGATGAACACAAAAATTTACCAAAATCGACCAGAAGACACGTAAAATTGTACAAATTTGTATTTGGAACCCTATGACTACCCGATTTATTATGTAAACCTTGATTTGCGTCATCAGTATGGAATTTTTGCCACTGAGTCGCAGACGTTCCTCCTCACAAAACGTCCCCAGCGGCGAAGAGCGAGGAGAAACGGATGTTTTCGCAGGCTACAGTCCTGTGGAATGCAGTGACTAACAACTGTAGTGCCCTGACAAAAAACATTCCTTATCGTGATCTCAGGCTAAAGCTTAAACCTCGAGTTAATTTTAATGAATTCAGCTTCAAGATGACGTCTGCATCCACTTGTAATTTTAGAAAAGATGACTTTGTATATACTTAAATTTATGTTCACAATTTCATATTTGTAAGCACCGCTGATTTAAGTTCAAACGTTTTTTCTGTATATACCCCTAGTCTTT